GAATTATGAACTTCTCAAAACTCAGCAGCTATTAACTTTTCAACCCACAATCGCTTTTGACATTCTGCTTATAATATATTGCAACAGCCCTTTTCAATTTTCTCTCCCATACTTTGTTACACACAAAAATAAAAAATTATTATATATAATTTAGACTATTGATCTTTCAAAAAAGTATAAAATCTAAATTGAATGATGATTTAATAATTATAATTATGTGATTTTTTATGTATATCTATCAAAATTTTTAAATCAATTTAATAGGCAAATTGAATCGAATTTTCCAAAATTTATTGATTTTTAATTTACAAAATAGGTTCAAAAAAAACTCTGACTTGACTGATTATTATTAATTAACAAAAATATTTTGTTGATAATCCTCTCACTCCTAATCTCTTTTCACAAGATTTTCAAAAAAAATATTAAAACTTGCATTCATTTTCCTTCGCCCAAAAAAATTCAGATAATGATTTTATATTAAATTGTAGATACTCTACCTATATTTATTATTATATTATACATAACAAAAAAAACCTAAAATACTAAAGCTAAAAAAAAATCTTTAAAGTTTATCTAAATAAACTTTAAATCAATAAAACTCACATGTCTATCACATATCTAACTCACATCATAACCTACCTAAATAATAATAATTAAAAACAAATAGAAACCACAGATAAATTAAATTTAAAAAAAAAAAGATACCCACAACTCTATCTTAAATAAATTGAAAAAAAATACATCAGAATAGAAACCACACAAAAATAAAAATAAAAATAAAAAGATATATCTATCTATCTATCTATATTTATACTATATATTAAGTAAAAGGGGGTTTTTAACCCCAAGTCTTGTGGGAGCTTCAATCTCCCAATCTAAATTTCCTGATTTTTTGATTTATATAAAAAAAAAACCTTAGCATTTATTAACTTCTCTCAACCCCCAAGTCTTACTCTCATAATAACACTTTAATGCATTAAGAACAAACATAAAAAAAATTATTTGAAATCCAACACATATGAATTCCTTGAAAAGTCCCAACATATATGATTATTATCCCTTATAATAATACTTTAATGCATTAAAAACAAGCATAAAAAAAATTTCTTGAAAAGTCAAATACATATGATTATTATCAAAATATTAAACTTTAATATAATATAATAAAAGAAAGAAGACATTTAATTTCTTGAAAAGTCAAACACATATGATTATTATTAAAATATTAAACTTTAATATAGTATAAAAAA